CCTGGTAATGTATTACAATTCACTATGTAACACCTAAATAAGTATTAGGTAATTTGGACAGTTTTAAAGTTATATTTTATTGCAATTAACCACTAACCACAAAATTTAGTTGCATTCTTTTGGTTATAAATATAGTGTTGAATTACTATTGAATAGTAATTTGATTGCACTTACCCAATGAAGGTAGTTTTACTAACAGTTGTTTTTTCTAAAAAAAGTGATGGACTGATTTTCCTAAATGCTGCTAATAGGAACCTAACTTCCTCTAAACTCTTTTACCCTTGCAGATTGGACGAGGACAGAGGTGCAAATCGGACTCCATACATTTGTGATTGGATGTAAGAATATTTTGACCTCTCAAAATTGAAGATGATGTTGCTATGGAAACTGCTACTGCTGCAGTCACTTGTGGGGTGCCTTGCAGGTAAAGTATCTTATTAAGAACTTTTTGATGCATGCCAAAGCTGTCTTTGTGAAGTCTGAGTCCTTATTCATATGTATTTGGGGCAGGTGGCAGTATGAAAGCTGACGTTTAGAGAGAAGCAGCTTCAGGTGAATTAGCCAGAAGCAGACATATTTCCTCCTACAGATATATACGAATAAGAATTTAGAATCCACTCGAAAGGGATGTTATTGTTAAAGTAAACCCCAGACGCTGGAGAAATTTACCTTTTGGCTTCTTTTTTTTAGTTTTATGTTTGACTTCAATCACTTCAAAGTTTTAATCAAATAACCACAAATYTCATAGAGGTGAGAGCAGACTTTCTTTTAAGTTTTACTTTACTGTTTTATGTTTATTTAATCAGTAGTAGAAAATGTAGTTTCAAAGCTTTAGTAAACCATGCCAAACGTTAAAGCAGAAGATATGACATAGAATGTRTTGTCACAAGCAAAGGACTCATAATTGTTTTCTTCTCTGTGACAGTATGAAGCAAGCACAGTTTTGTTTGCCTTTCTTAGTCTCATTTTGACTAATTTATTTATTCAAAAACACAAATTTACATCAGTATCAAAGGACACGCTTTTTTCTGGTATTTCAGTGATTTAACTATAAAACATATAGTTATTAAAGGTTGCAGTGTGACATCTCGCTCGCTTTCCTACTGGATYGCAAAAGGACCCAGTTTTGTATTGAGGTAGAGTGAATCGTATGATATTATGGTTTATTTTTGCAATGATGACAATATTTGCAATGAATCCACATTTATCCTAACTCCTCACTTTTGTTTTCTGCCATCACTGTCATCTACATCAGTTTTGAGTCTACTGGATTGAGCAGATATACAGTATTTTCATCAAGCAGAACATGAATACATWTCCAATCGAATACATATTGTACTTGAAATTTAATAACCTACGATTTATAACAATTCTGTGTGATACTGATCTGGATCTTACTTAGATCACTATGCAATCTGTTTTGTCTTTTCCAAAATTCTTTTTTTTCTTTCTGAATTCCATTTTCCAGATTTTCCATTTTGTTCTGAATTCCACACTTTCATTCCAACCATATTTACTAACTTTGAAAGTATGAAATTACAAAAATACTGAAAAATAGTTTGACAAATAAATAGCCATACATTTAAAAATGTATTGACTATAACTTCACTTTCACAAATATACCAAATGTTTTGGTTCAGAACATTAAATTGTTTTGCAAGGCATTTAAAAGTAGTTACCATATACAGTATATTCAAGTATAATACGTAAAATTAAATCTATAAAATCATCCATAAAGTTGGGGGGTAGTACTATACTCGGATAAATATTTTTACTTAT